AGGCATTTGTGTCGATGTGGTCATGCCAATGGAAGTGGAAGCATCACAGACGGGGACGTCTGTCATTGTGCACGACGAAATCACAGTCAATTTTGCTGTGCCACTATCTGACGCCTCGAATTTCAAGGTCGTGATCGATTCCGGAGCTCTGCAGGACATGGCGGGAAATCCTGTCAGTCTTAGCGACACGTGCCAGTTCTGGGTTCCTGCAGGTGCAGAGGGGGCGCGCCCTGATACCTGTGCCGGGACTTTCACTTTCTGGACTCCTTCGTAAAGAGAAGCTGTCATCATTCATCAGCTCGTCGTGTGCGTCATCTCCGTCGGGTCCTTGGCTGCGCAACTTGCTCCTGCTCGTGGATTGAAGTCGTCGGAGGCCCAAGATGGAAAACAGGCAGGTCTTTGTCGGCCCTCTTCCTCAGCAGCGTCGCTTCAGTGCTGAGCCCAACCTGGACGAACGCGGGAGCCTTGCCTCCGTCGGCTGCGCAGAGCAACCTCGGGACCTCACGGCTGAAAGCCTGGCTTGGCAGAGGGGGCATGGGAGGAAACGACGAAAAACAAGGGGAGTAGCGCAGAGTGTAAGCGAGAGGGACAACTGAAGAGGCAAGCAGAGACAGTGAGAAGCGAGCGAGTTTCTGAACCACGAGACTGGCTTGCCGCAGGTGTACTGGTCTGCGACAGGAGGAGGCAGTGATTCGGATGAGTAGACGAGGGTCTGTTGGCGGACATTTGGTGCAGCAGCCCGTCCTGGCGAGGCCTTTACAACACACCCATGCGTTGTCGACGGGGAAGGCCTCGGCGGATTCACGCGCGATCCAATGCTGCAAAGTCTTGCTGACCTCGATGCAGTGGCGAAAGTTTTAAGCTTTGTCGACGTTCGGGCCTCGGCTAGTCTTGCTTTGCGAGGTGCCGCTGCTGCCAGTTCCAGCAGCAGATGGCAGGCACGGAAATGTGAACAGTGGAATTGGCCCCTCGGACTTGGATGGCATCTGCCCTGCACTGGAAGCAGGTTTTTCGCTGGGGCGGTTGGGTTGATGTGGACGCAGTGATGCAGAAGGCCGTGCCACGAGTTTTGTGGAAGTCCCGTCACACTCGAACAGACGTGGAAGTGGATCTGTTCGTACTTTGACAGGTGCTTGTGCAGGCCGCCCGGGGCCCGAGCTTTGCAACACCAGTGAACTTTGTCCATTTCCGTTTTCTGGGTCTTTGTCGCGGTGGTCACCATGCAAGACCTGGGGATTTCCCGGAAGCTCCAGGTTTGCTCTTTGGGGGCTTTGTTGGCATGCGCCAATGCCCAAAGCAACTAGGGCCAGTGGCTCTTCCACCCGTATGGAGCTTTGAGATGGTCACAAGCTTGGAAGTCTTCGGGTTGGAAACTGAGCCAAAACGTTTTTTTGCTGCGTTGGCTCCAGATGGGTTATTTGTGCACTATTCTGTAGAGCATGTTTGACAGCCGGGTTTACAATCGAGCTCTTGATGTGACCCGACATGAAAGCCCGTCGAAGTCCCAGTCCTGAGAGTGCACCCGTTTCAGGCTGACGATGGCGACCCCAAGGCGGAGAAGAAAGCAAGCTTGTGAGTTTAGTTGTTTTTCTTTCGGTTCGGGGCTTGGGTGTAGGGTCAGTTGGAGTTTGGCACTCAGTAGTGGGCTCAGACTTGAAAGCCTCTTTCTGGATTGGGCTTTACTGTCGCAGCTTGAACCGGAAATTATGAGAGGTTGCCTTCAGCATTGGCGATGTGCCCTACATCGCTGACTTGGCACGACTAGTCTTGCTGAACGAGAAGACCGGGCGCAAGAGGCCAGCAGAGTTTTGGTTGACACTGTTCGGCATCGCATGCAGGTCCCTGAAGAATGGTGCATGCTCTTCAGTGGTAGAGGGTCATCAACCTTCTGGAGCCGGGAAAGACCTCACGCATCTAGGCCACAGGACTGTTTGTAACCTCTCAAGCACTGGTGGCCCAAGATCTTCTTGCTGTTGTTATTATAGTTACTGTTATTTGGGCCCAAGGAAGCAATGGCTCAGCATTGCGACAGCAGCACTTTCGACGAGGTGCATCGTAAGCAGTTGAGCGACGCCGTCGATCTGGTTCGGCAGCAAAGCAGAGACCGTGCCAACCTAGAGCGAGAACACGCAGCAAAGTTGCGCGACATCATGCACAGTGTCCAGGAGCAAAAGCAGACAAGTGAGGTTGCAAGACGCGAAATCCAGCAAGAATTGCAGCAACACCTGGAGGGGTTGACGAAAGCAGAGCTTTGTAATGACAGCTGGTGCACTTGGGGTGCATTGTTGCAAGTTCTGTTTCTTATCGTTTCGCCCTTCCTGGCAGCGTGGCTTGGAGCGTCGCCCGAGGTCCTCGTCTGGATGGCTGTCCCCGTCGTGGTGAGCTTGATTTTCTCATTCTGTGCCAACAGACTTGACCGTTGGTGCGACAACCGCAGAAAGATGAAGACTGCCACAAAGCTTATCGAGGAGGCCATGCACACATGTTCACCTTCGTTCGACAGGCTTTGGAAGGAGCCTGAACTACTTCAAGAGGTGAAAGATGCAGTGGATCGTTTGTCTGGTGCCCTCCCGACGGCAGACATGATGATGCAGCAAGCTCTGCAAAGGGCGTCTTATCCGGACCTCTTGCTTCGATTGTGCACTGCTGAGTGCAGGTTGGAGTTTGAGTCGCGAGAGTTGAAGCTTGAGCGCCAACGGAATGCAGCCTTACATTCCAGCATGTCGGACATGGGCAAGAGTCTCCAAACGATTGCGGAACGCCCTAACGTCGTGAACAACTACGACAATCGACAATTCTTCAGCAACAATGACAGTCGGCAATTCGTCACCGACAATCGGTCTTGGTCTTATCACACCGACAACCGGGACTTCAGTACACGTACTTTCCAGCTCACGGACAGTCGTTCTTTCAGTTCCACAACCTCTCTCGAGTGCCATTGGACATCTAATCACCTAGCGCTGCCGTTATTAGCCAGTGCATCGCCTTGATCGCCTTGAAGGAGGGTCACAAGCATCCATCCTTGGCACAGTTGTGCATTTTTGAGGGGGTGGCGCAGTGTGAATGGAAACCGGCATGTATTCATGCATGCATGTGCGTGTTCCGATTTGTTCTTGCTACGGATGCCTTAAGCCTTGTTCATTAAGTGAATTGCTCGTAGGTCCTTGTTACACGGAATCTTGTTGTTGTAAGGCATCCCTGCTTGGAGCATCAGGGAATGGTAACTCCGCGTAGCGAAGCGTACATAGGGAACTATGCCATTCTTCGACTTTGATGTTAGAGGGATCTCTAAGCCACGAGTGAGCCGTGAAGCCACCTACCTTGTGCAAGCCTGCTCGACGTCGTCGGCATCCGTACACTCGATTAAATTAAGGTTCAGGGTTTCGTATGCTGTACGATACATACAAGAAAACCATCAAGGATAGTATGACTTACTGTACTTTCAGGCTAGGGTGGTCGTTCCTGGCTTGGAGGTTTAAAGCCCCCGAAGCCCTTTAGTAATAGGCAGAAGCAGAAGCAGCAGGCTCTTGCGCTTCGAGCCTGGCGACCAGGAGCCTGCCCGGATTGCTCGTGGAGGGTTCCGGGCCTGAGGTTTAGCTATAGAGTTTCGGGTCAGGCCAGTTGCAAAATGATTTAGGGTTTAAGGAAAAGGGCGGAAGAGCGGCAAACTACCAGGCGTCCTTGCAAGCAAGCCTGCAGCAAAAGGGAAAAGGGTTGGGTTTGGGGCGTCGGCGCAGGGGTGTTGTTGGGGTTGTGGAGTGCGGGGTTTAGGGACTCAGAGCTTTTTGGGCTTTAGGGTTCAAGCAACCAGGTTCTGCTGTACGGCACCTTGATCCAAAAATTTGGCTTGACGTGCCTCCCGCATGTGTGAGAGTCAAAATCCGATATCTTTGTAGAGCTTGTTTGCGCATTTGAGCAGGGCTGTCCTGTCCCTGAATAAGGAACGGAGACAGATCGGTCAAGGTTTCTTTGTTCAGGGATTCCTAGTACTAGGGTACTAGATGGCAGGCTAACCAGGCCCAGCAGCCGCACACCCGGGCCGAGACAGGCTGCAACCCAAGTTTGAAGTTGGAGCATGGTCATTTTTGCTATCTGAAAGACAGAATCTTTCGGTGCACGCTCGCAACTGCCTTATTCATTGTGGTGACGAATTTCATACTTACTTTTGGTATGGCTATTATTATTGTTCTTATTGTTCATGTTATTGGTGTTTTTATTGCTATTATCATTAGTATTACTCTTGCAAGTATTACGGTTATTACTGTTATTATAACCATTTTTGTTTGTTGGAGTTATTGTTATTTTGATTCTGATGATGCTTACAGTTATTAGTACTGTTTTGTATTACAAGTCTCATTGCTATTCTTAGTATCAGCATCATTATTCGTATTGTTGCTAGTATTCTTGTCATTGTTGTCGTTGTTGTTATGTGTGTAGTATGATTATTATTAACACGCAGGAGTATGACTTGTAGTTCTCAGCCATGCAGGAGGCAAAAAATTGCCAATAAGTATGTATAGACCTGGTCGCTCGGGGCCAAAGGAACTCGCAAGCTAAGGGACGACATCCTGGCTTGGGGGTTGCAGATGCCAGGCCACGACCATAGCGAGCCGCTGCTTTCCACCTAGACGAGTCTGTCTTCGGAATGCTTCCGTAGTTGCTGCGCAGACAACACGAGACACCCACAGCATATTCAGCAGGGGCTGGTGTCATGAGGTCTTTGTGGAAGGAAGCGGGTGGAAAGCCATGTCGTCGCCCAAGGAATGTGCAGCCTTCGCACCGTGCTGGAGCCAGCAGTTTGCTTCACTCCTCCGATGTCCCTGCAAGGTCCATCAAGAATAGTCGCGAGCTCAATTGGCCTTGCTTCGGGGTTAGCAGAACTGGGACGTTCGGGGCCGACATGCCGAAACGCTATTTGCGCTCAAAGGAGTTCAGTTCAGTCCAGGTGATGTCATCGCAAGGTATGGAACCCGTCGAGACGGCTGGTGCACAATTAAGATATGACATCGCCGGAAGTTTTCTGGCGCCCCCCGCTGACCTCCTCATCCCAGTTCCGCAAAGAGGATCGGCACTTGGCTTTCGGTTTGGTTTCCCCTGATGGGCGAAATCCGGCAGCTCGCCCAATCTCTCAGATCGCAGGCTGGATCCTCTGCGAGGCGGTTCAAGAGTCGGTCCCGGGAGCTGGAGATTGCGGGCTCCGGCGCGAGACCGGGCCGCTCCCTTCCTCTTGTGATGCTTCTTTCGAAGATCTTCTGCCAGTTGAGACCGCGAGCCGGGAGGTAGTGGTTTTTGAGGCTCTTGCAGGGGAGGAGGTGCGATGGACAGGGCTCCTGTCCGTGGAGGCGGGCTCGAAGCTTCGGCTGGCTGGACCCAGCAGCTTTCGGCTTACCTTTGGCAGAGCTCGCCAGGCACTTCCCAGGGCAGTGCTGCGCAGCTCAGCGTCTCCTCCAGGTCACGTCGGTCTGAGGGACTGGTTTGAGGTGCACTGCCGTCCAGGGAAGGCCACTGCCAGCACCGCCAGCGTCACAGCGACGGTGGAGGTCCTGAAGCCTCCGAGAGGTCAGGTCAACGGAGTTTGGCAGCCAGTCCGCTGGAGCGACTTCCAGATGCCGGAGCTTTGGCCATTGGTCCGCGTCATGGGTGCTTGGGTGGACGGCGGGGCCGGCAGATGCGAAGCGCCCGCGCCCCTCCGCGTGCCTCCTGCGCACCTTCGCAAGCCAGAATTTGGCGCTACACCAGACCGACCACATCTGGCTTTGCTAGTAGTGCTTGCAGCTCAGCCTGCAGAGAGTGGTGTGGGTTGCATGACACCCAACTGGTCCCTGGTCGCTGCCTTGGAGGAGGCCCTGTATCGCCGGCTCGGACCTCATTACGAACTCCATGTTGTGCAGATAGAGGCGGAGGAAGAACTGGAAAGTATTTCCGCCGAGGACGTCCTGCGCAGCCTTTCACGTGCTGAGGTCAAAGGCATTGTTTATTTCTTAAGCCCGCAGCAAGTCAAAGGTGCTTTTCGGACAAAGAGTTATTTGATCCACGACGAGGCACTCTTTGCCTTGATGGAAAGACTTGAGAGGGCCGGCCTTCCAACGGTCTGGCCACACCCTTTGCACCTGTTCAAAGCACTTGCCGGCAAAGTGTGGCCTCCCCAAGTTTGCCTGTCGCCGCAGTATCATGTGCCACTCACTTCCTGTGTTCCCCGCTGTGCTGTGCTCGCAGACCCACAGCTGGCTGCAGACGAGGCCCTACAGGCCTTGAAAGTCTTGAGGGAGGCATCTTCGCGCTCTCCAGAAATCTCGGGGACAGTGGTCAAGGTCGGATTCTCCTGGAAGTCCGAGGGGGTTACGCTCTGCCGGAGCAGGGAAGACTTGCAGTGCGCCTTGCAAAGTGCAGCAGCTGCTGGCAGTCATAGCTACTTCATGGTGCAGGAGCGCATTGAAGGCTTGTGCTGCGAGGCCATGGTTTACACACTCGCCGGCCAGATCGTCGGTCAGCCACAGTACTATTCTTTCCCGTATCACAAAGCCCCACCGCAGTACATGCTTCGAAAGACAGCCGCGCAGTTGTTGGGTGGGGAAGCGGTCCAAAGAGACTGCGAGGATAAGATGAAGCAGATTACCCAGCGGTGGCTACTGTGGATTCGGGCACAGTGCTCCAGCCCTGTGCCTTTCCTAAGGGTTGATTTCTTGCTGGCGCTCGATCCGGTCTCGCGGGATGTACAGATATGGACAGGTGAGGTAAGTGAGCTGGGTGTTGCGGTCTCGTTTCAGGAAATAGACGATCACCAAAGCTGTGACATGGTGATGGATGCGGTGCTGTGTTCAGTTCTCAGCCAAAGAAACGCTGAGGCGGACGCTCAAACTCTGAATCTTGCAGAGGCAGGACAAACCCCACAGAGTTGGACTGCAACTGCAACGCATGCTCGGCATCCATGCATGCTGCATGACACTTTGCGGAGCACCCAGGTGCCATTCAGACGTCTCTTCAAGGACAGAGGATCTTTGATACGGAGGCCGGCCTTGAATCGGGGAGTTGCTGGTTCACGAGAGTTGTTTGCGGCAGGCGCATGGATGCCGGTACCGCGTAAATGCGGAGGCAGTGTGGTAGATCGCAAGAGAAGCAGAGCCTGAAGCACCCACGTCCACCCTCAAGTGACAGGCCTTCGAGTGCACGAACCTGACATTGGGACGAACATCTCCTATGCGCTCATTGCAGGCCTGCTGGATCATGCTAGCATTGCTGTCTGAGGCTGAACTCAGGCAGAGTGCAGAGCGTCCTTGCACATCCACATTGTCATGCAAATGGCAATGGTTACTGCAATCATGGGATGCCCTCGTTTTCTGAGTACAGTTTACGACGCACGATAGGATTACGAAGTGATTAATGGAGCCCCTTGATTAGCTGCCCCAACATTTGTAGCTTAAGGATCGTGCCCTAATAATCCTACACCCTAGCTTTCATCCGTCCATGAATCCCCCAACAAGAAGCCGAAGCTGAAGAAGGATGCCTTTACTTCGCCGCCTGCTGTGCACATCCCGGTTTGAGCACCGTGCAGTGTGCGGCTTTGGGGCTGTAGCGCTTCGGACTTCGGTACCCCAAGGTTTGTAGCGCAGGCTTTGCTTTGGCGGCATTACCTTTTTTCTCACCGTCAGCTAAACAGAGAACAAAAGTCTTTTTTCCGACTAGGGCCGATCACGCGGACAACTCTTCGTGTCTTTTTCAGCAAGCCATGATTGAACCGGCGGGAGTTACGTGAGATTTTTGATCCACTCGTAGGCTTGTAGGGCGAGCTCCAATCAAGCCTGTGCAAAAAATTGGAGTGAGGTTTCTGGGCATGTTGGAGTGCTTCTGGTGTGAAGCGGTTAATTGGCATAGCCTCCGTGCGTGTTCGTTCGAGCAGTTGGTCGACGAGAATGATGTGCATGCACTAGAATGAGTTGATGCTTTTCTTGTGGCTCGAGCCCTGAGATAAATAGGAAAGCAAGCCGCGTAGCCGCCATGGCGGGCATAGAGACTTGGACCGCAATCTGGCCGACTGCTGTCGTATAGCATCTCAGATCTGCCTGTAATGTGTGCTGCGAGGTAGTTTGCGTCAGTGGCGGCCTGCCTGAATGCAGCTGGAAGTTCGTCTGGGTTCGCTTATGTTCGGTTTGGGGTCTTGTGAACTCCATGTCCCTCCCCTGCAGCTCAGGATCAGGCATAACGACCAGGGATTTTTGGGATTTTCCATCCCCTACAGCTCGGCATAAGGATCAGGAGTTTTGGGGATTTTTCAGAGGTGGACGTAATGTTGGTCGTGGTGAGTGCTACAGTGATGGACATGTAGGCTGCCGCTTTTGAACATCTTTCGGCACTAGGGCGAGGATGACGACCCAACCACAAGACGACCACGACGATGACCAGCACTACAGTACGACCGTGTTACAATCAGTATGTCTCTATCTATCTATCTATCTATATGTACATACATATATATATATATATATATATATATATAATATCACGGTACTACATGTATCTGTGATCAAGACGAAGCACTATAAAAGAGAGTTGCGTATGAGGACTCGGACTTTGGGCACTGCCTCAAATGAGTGCGCCGCATTGCATAATTTCTGTCGCTCTCTGGCGGCTTTTTGTGCCGGGCAGAACGGCTTGCCCACCGGGCTACGTGTTTGCAGACGCTGCGCGGTCAAAGTTGCACAAAGTAAATTACGGCTATGCACATGTTCATGCCAGAACCTAAGTTTCGTTACTGGCACTTACCCTGCACTGTTGTGGGTCCCACAGGATGTCTAGAAATCGTCGCAGGACGCGCACGCACAACGTTTTAGAGACCCTATGATTTGGCAAGTCCGAGTTGCGAGAGCATAAATCCGAAAACTTCACCCTTTATTTTTAACCGTAAACCCGTACATAAACCCGGATGTCCCAGCTGTGGATAGCAGGCTTGCCCGGGGCCATGGGCCACGAAGTCTCGCAGGCCTGCATTCGCCGAGGTCGGGGCCACGGCGCGGAGCGTGAGAGCCGTTGCTCCTTTAAGACAGACAGGTCGTCGTATGGAAGAGAGGTGTAAGGCCTTTCTCATTTTCGTAAATCCGAATGCTAGAGGTGGAACCGACCTCCACGCATGTACCTCCTCGCATGCTTCCTGTTCCCTTCGCTTTGCTGGCCAGCTGCTGGTCTCTTCTGCCCTTCTTGTCTACGGATATGGCCGTGAGATGCAAACTTCCGGGTCAGGATTTCTACCTAAAGTGCTGCTCTCAAAGATCCCCCGAAGCGGCAAAATAATTCACCCGATACAATTTGCCTCACACCAAAACAAGGGGCCAAAAAGCACCCAAACCCCGAAACTGTAACACCCAAACTATAGCCCCTCGTGACCGCGGGACTTTTGAGCGCATACAATCTGGGCCCCCTTGCCCAAACCCCAGCCCTCAGTACACGCACGCCCAAACTGCGAAACCAAAGCCCCTCCACGCTCAAACAGTGCAGGTATGACCTTGGCGCCTGTGGGCCTTACCGGTCCCGGCATGCCGGAACAGTGCCAGGTGCGTGGGGTTGAGGGAGACATCAGAAACCTACTAAAGCACCAAGGGGCCACCTCGGTTTTCCAGGGTTTGGGATGTAGATCCAGGTTTTGGTTTGAGGATTTTTGGGTTCACTTAATATACTAAAGTAATAGTAGTAATAGTAGTAATAGTAGTAATAGTAGTAATAGTAGTAATAGTAGTAATAGTAGTAATAGTAGTAATAGGGGCTTTAAGTTATTGGAGCTTTTGGGGTTTCGACTCACACGCTCGCACGCGGCAGGCATGGCTGATGGGGTTTTGGGGTTTAGGGAAAGACTTCAAGAGGCAAAAGGGATGAAGGATCTCGGTAGTCTGGCTAGATTTGAGTCCAGTAGCAAAAGAGGATGCTTGGACTTTTCGCACACCAGCATTTAGAGTTGCTGCTTTGGTAAATGATTGCAACTTTATGGGAGTTGTATACGTGTAGCACCTCAAAGGAATCGTATAGGAACCCTTATGGAAGTAAAGTCCTTAACGGAAGCACAAAAACCCAAGCTCAGCAGCGGTGTTTTGGAGGTCGTAGAGGGCGGTACCTACGCCGTCAAGCTGGTTGGCTCGGACCAACCCGCAGCGCAAAAGCAAGCTCTGGAGGACTTAGGGCCATGGTGGTTCGGTGAGCCTTTAAGCCTTCAGGGCTCATTCAGGTCCAGGGTTGAACTCAAAGAGGCGGCCGGGATCAGCCTACTAGCAGACCTGGTATCTTTGAAGAGAGGAGCTGAAGGCGGCTCATGGCGACAAGCTGGTGATCATTGATTTCACCCATCCTAGCGCTGCAGCCGCCTTAGAGCGCTACCCTTCTTTGCCTTGCCGAGCTGCACGTCTTGTCGCTCGGGACATGAACGGAGCGCACGAGACTTCTGTGCTGCGGAGGTCAATGCGAACGCCGAACTCTACACCGCTGCCCCCTTGCGGCGATAGTCTCGCCTGCCTGAAGAGCTGAATTCTTTTTTCAATTTCGTTGCACTGTCGTTGTTTGGTCAAGCCTTCTCCTTGAGGCTGGTGTCAATTTTGTTTTCGGCACGACCGGTGGGGACCGTGACGCCTTGATGAAGGTCACCGAGCAGAGCGGGGTTTACGCTGTCATCGTATCTCAGCCTGCAACTAAGGACTCCCAAACCCCAGGACAAACTTAATATACTAATACTAATAATGGTAATGGTAATTATGGTGGTAATAGTAGTAAGCGCAGTAATGGTAGTAATAGTAGCAATAATAGTAATCGACACCTGGAATGCTACCCTGAACCTTCAGGCGCCGAACATGGGAAAGCAGATTGTGGCTCTCCAGGCCACGATGGAGAGGACGGGACAGCCCAAGAGAGTCTGAGAGGGAAATCCCAAACCAAAAAACACCAAAAACCCAGGTAAAAAAAAATCTAAGTGGGTGTCGTCCCAGCAATGCGGAAGGCAAATACCCAAGCCGACAGTTCCTAGTGTAGGCCGACGCCATGCGATGAGCAGCGATATCAGCGCAATCCTCGTAAACCCTGAACCCCAAGATGCATCTCTATGCGGGCTTTGTCCTTGCTAGGTAGGAGGGAAAAAGAGATGCATCCCTCCCCGCAGGATGGCGAAAGACTTCCCCGGAGCCTTTGCAGGCTGTCTGCTGCACGGGTTTGGACCGGCCTTGTCAGAATCTTACTGTCCACATGGCCATGATCGTCAGTGATGCTGACTGGTACAATTGTAACCCACTGCAGTCTTTTCGAGCAATCTTGTGCGAGGGGCTCTTAAACTAAGTGAGATTTTTCGTCAGGGGTGTACATGAAGCATACCAGTGCCGTCGCTTTGGTGTTTCGTCTACTTCTACCCACAATCCTACGCCCAAAACTCCAAACCTTGGTGGCTGCTCCGTGTCTTGGTTGATCCTCTCAGTCCCTGCGGAGACTGTTTTCGTATCTGTTAGTCAGACTTGTCTTAGACCTTTGCCTGCCTTGTGGGAGTTGCGAGAGCCGAAACTCTATACCCTGGGTGTGCGAGTCGGAACCCTGGGCTAGCAGGCAGACATGTTGAAGTGTTCGAGCAGTTGCGGCTTGAATCAGCAGCGTCGATGTAGCATGTTAGCCCCAATGTGCGAAACTCCCGAAACCCAAAGCCGAAGCCCTGAGCTCGATTCCAAGGATAAAGGCACCAGTCACACGGCCCTTATACGAGGGTTATTGAAAGTCGAAGTAAGGGTTACCATGAGTGTTACTATGAGGGCTACTCTGACTCAATAAGGGTTACTATGTAAAAAAACCCAAAGCAGCTTGGCAGTCCCGAGTCCCGAGTCCCCCGATATCCTGAACTCCGGACCTCGGGCATGGCCGGTGCTGGCATGCTCCCGAAGCTGCGGACCCTTAGGGTCTGCTGTTTGCCCATGATGGTTTTCCTGGCACTTCTACCGGGGCCCCTCTCTTTTGCGGCTTGGAGCAGACGAAGCTTCAGCAAGGAGGCCGCGCAGTTTCTGGGCCGCGTCGCACCGCGTTTCGACAACGAGCTTGGACACAAGGGCCAAGGTGGCCGTGTTGCCATCCTTGGAGGGTCTAAGGACTACACGGGAGCTCCGTACTATGCGGGCTTGGCTGCATTGCGGACCGGTGCTGAGCTTGTCTATGTCTACACAGCGGAGGAAGCGGCTCTGCCCATCAAATCCTACAGCCCAGAGCTGATGGTCACCCCTATCTACAGCGGTATTCCGCAAGCTGCAGATGTCGTGAGCGCGGTTTCGCCGAACCTGGGGCGGCTGCACTCCCTGGTGATCGGTTGCGGTCTTGGAAGGCATCCAGGCATCTTGGAAGGAGCAATGGCCCTCCTGCAAGATGCTCAAAAGCAGGGGTTGCCCGTCGTCGTGGATGCGGATGGACTGCAAGCTGTCGTCGACAACCCGGAGGCTGTAGCCGGCGCGGATCGGGTAGTGCTGACGCCCAACGTGGCAGAGTTCAGGCGGCTGCTTTCGGCTGTCGGTGTGGACTCCGAGGCAGCACCGTTGAAGGATCAGCTGCGACAGCTGGTAGACAAGCTTCGTGGTCCAACGGTGCTTTTGAAGGGAGCAACCGACCTCGTCGGCTTGCCAAACGAGGAAGTTCTCGAATTCCACGAGAAGGGTTGCCCTCGCCGGAGTGGAGGTTTCGGGGATGTGCTGGCGGGCACTTTGGGCACCTTGGTGGCCTGGCTGCGTATTCGCCAAGGAGGCACTGGACCTTTGGATCTCGGCCAGGCCGCTGGTGCTGCATCCACCCTGGTCAGGCGCAGCTGCAACTTCGCGTTTGAGCGGCACTTTCGTGCGACGACGGCGCCGAATGTGCTCGATGAGCTGGGCCCTGCTTTTCAATCGATTTCGCCGGCTGTTTAGTGCTGAGCTACTAGGGTAATTAGTTGGGTTCTGCTAAAGTAGCAGATGAATAGAGTAATTATGGGCACGCTTTTGGCATGATGAGCCGAGGTGTACTGCCTTTACGCCCTTCGCACCTTAGTTCTTTAGGGCTCCAGGAACACAGAGCAGCCACATAACTTCAAATGGGCATGTGGAAGCCCACAACCCTCGTGCATTGCACTTGCTGCACAGAGCAGCGATTGATTGGAGGTCGCAGTTTGTGGGTGATGAATTCTACTATGTTTTATTACATTTTCGCTTTGATAATGGCAGTCATCACCTGCATTTTGCGGTAGCCAGCAGTGGACATGCCGCAAAAGACTGGTGCGTGCCTCGAGCGAGAATGCGAGTCGAAACTCCGAACTCTGAACCCTACTCCTTACATCCTTGCTAGGCTGCTACGCAAGAGGGGGAAAAGCCCCTGCCCCCCGAAGCCCAAACCCGACCCCACCCTCCAAAAAGAGAAAAACAGTCACTGAACCCTACACCCCCTCTCCCATTCAAAAAATCAAGGCAGTCCCCCCCTGAACCGGAATCAACGAATGCACCCCGCTGCCCCTTCCACAAACAAGGAAGGAACCTCCCTCTTCCCTCCCTTTGAGCCCGAATCCTTCCAGGCTACAAGCTGGAGGTCACGGAGAGCCATCAGAAGACCAAGGCCGACACCAGCGGCACAGCGAAAGCCATGGCAGCTCTGGCAGCAATGCTATGACGATGATGGTGATGACGATGACGGTGATGGTGATGGTGATGGTGCTGATGATGATCATCACCACCATTCGTGCTAATTGCTCTTGGTAATGGTATTTCATTTTTTGTCTTTATTGCTCTTCCTAGTAGTAGTGTTTATTGTTACTACAGACGATACTATCACAATGACTAGAAATCGACTTTAACTTCGGGGTTCAGTAGCAAAAAGGACCTTGGGAACTAGAGCCCTATCGCATGATCTGGAGAGGTCTCTTCCTTTCAAGGCCTGGGCGTGGATCCGTTCACCCACGAACAGGCTCGGGAGCAGTTGTGAAGTCATGCCAAGTTTGAACCTCACGGGCTCTGCTTGTATCGGCACCCTGAGATCACCCAGCTGCGGGACGACGCCTCACAGAGAGCATTCGGAGTGCCAGAGGCCGAACCACCTCATGCATATCCGGCATGAGATAGCGAGAGAGGGTGGGCAGCTGCAAACTTCGCCAGGAGTTCTCCAATGGCCACGCCTTCCATACGTATACGCTCACAAGCAGCGATGGATCCGTCCAGTGTCCAGCCTCAACTCGTTTCAGCATGTGGTCGGGAGGAGGTGCGGAGTCTGAGTGCTTTCCGCATCGAAGCTGAGGTTTCAGTTTAAGCACAATGTCTGTGGCCGCCGCACGTATGGTGAAGGGGTTGCCGATGCCGTCCAATTCATCGCTAGCCAAGCAGCCGGGAAGGCTCCAAAGAAGGCGCCTTAGAGGAGAGTCCAGCGGCTGGTCGGTTGTTTCGGATTCGGCTTCCGGCTGGGCGAGCTAAAGTAAGAGACGGCGCACGATGGGGTTTGTGCAGATATTGGCGGTCTTATTCGGACATAGGAGAATTCCATGAGAGGTGTACAACATGATCGACATCCTGGAGGCTGCTTGTGGCAGAGCAACAGCGGGGGGTAGAGTACCAGAACTTGTGTTAGGGTTTGTGCTTTTGCATGTCATGCCGCAGGCTGGGGAGATGAAGTGAGGAAGTGCTAAGCTTTTGCCTTCAGCCCGAAACAGCGCTAAACCCTATATCTATCTATATATATATATATACACACATGTGGTATTATATACTAGACAAGCTCAAAAGCCCGAGGCCCCGAAGCCATCGAAAGCCTAACCATTGGGAGCTGACCGAGCCGAGCCTGGTCCAAAGTTCCCACCGGTTTTCCGTAGGTCGTAGGTCTCTGGACTGGACATGGCTCCACGCTTTGTCCTGCCCCCGCGCCAAGATCCAAAAAATGCCCGGATCGTCTGGTGCCCTTTTCTGCGCATGTATCTCCGAAATGCGGATGAAGTCCTTGAGCTGCAAGGTCCAGCTCTCGAGCTACTTCTCGTTGCTGGCAGGCTCCGAGAAGGCTCGGCCAAAAAAGCCCCTCCAGGCTGTGCCGAGTTGGAAGCTGAAGCCTTAAATGCAAAACCCTGAACCCTCATAGTATGACTCCGAACCCACATGCCTCGCCTGGATTGTCCGAGTGTGAGCGCCGAACCCTCATAGCCCACACCCGCCAAAGCGCCGCAAAGCGGCTGTAACCCCAAAACCGAATCAACCGTTTTGGCTCAAGTTGGCTCGCAGAAGTCTCGCAGAGGCATGGCGCAGGGATCCGCATCCTCACACACTGTGCATGTTGCATGATGCGATTTAGATTTTAGAGCAGAGACAGCACTCGACGCAACAGCTGAGCATCGAGAAACTTCTGGAGACTGGCAGGGGCACGTTTCGTGTCCCATTCTGGTGCGATGCGGGCCTGACCGAGATGTCGTGCTTGTCGCAGCACGGGCAATGCTCGAAGATATGAATGTTAGTGACAAGATCGACAGTCTGCGGCAGCTGGGCTTCTAGACAAAGATTGCAGAAGGGATATCCATTTGGTGACCCAGCAGGATACGCTGGAGCTTTTCCGCGTTCTGGACGATGGTCGAGAGGGTACCATCAATACGACGGACTTGATGACCCTGCAAGCAGTGGACACCGTCAAACTCAACGAGTCTGACTTGAAAGGCGTTGTCCGACGCAGACCGCGACGGCAGTGGACACTGTACAGCACAGGATAGATACCATGCGCTGACGCATGGTGGGCTGGTTTTCAACCTCGTCAAAGAAAGGCCTGCGCAAGAAAGAGGTCGAGAAGCTTGTGGAGTGGATGAAGTTTTGAGTCCGAGACAAGCACCGCACTGTGGCTCTTGCCTATGACGATTGGCTCCTTTGTCGTGTTCTCCTGGGTTGCAGCAACACACATTGACCTCTTTCACAGCTGGCGTGTGCACAATGCCCTGCTAGAGACGCTAATCGTGACGCCCAAGAGGAAGTAAGTGGATATACCTACGAGCACATGGACAAGGAACCACTACTCCCCAACCGTTTTTCGACAAGATGACATTTATGATCCTGTGCCGGGACGGTTGGCTGAGCAGAATCAGATGATCTCTGGAGTTCGGTTTGCCAAGGGCTTCTACGAGCCATCACCGTGCCCAACCAACGAAGTCCTCGGTCGCATCTTCAACTCCAGGAACAGAGAAGCCATTAACACAGGGGATCCGCGGTGGGACCACATCGACTTCCTGTACCAGCTTGAGAAGAGACCTTTTTTGCTTCAACGGCTCGACACCCTGGTGGCGATACCTCGGCGGGACGATCGTGTGCGGGTTCTTGAGCACCCGGTATTCCTTTACAATGCCAACGTTAACCTCTTCATGCTGGAGATCCTCCAGTTCGAGTTTGAGCCCAGTGGTTTGAAGAAGCCGAGGCAGCACTACGAGAGCTTCTGGCGAGCCATGTCTGGCTGTCATCGGCGACCCGCAAACCTATGACTCTGGGGCTTGATTGTGCTAATGGAAGATGACGACCATCCAGCCCATCCCAACAAGATCGCCACGTCGCTGTCTTTGAAGAAGGCCTTTGAGAAGGAAAAGATGCCACCGTAGAATGCGGAGTACTTGATTCGCAAGAGCGAGGAGTTCCTCAAGGACCGAACTGACAATCCGGAGTTGGATCTTCCGGATGCGGTGAAGATCATGGGCCAGCCACACCCTTTGCCAGAAGCATGAGGAGTGTTTCTTCAACAATCCCACAGCATGCTCTGCGATAACTTGGGGCAGAAGTCCTCGCGAAGAAGGTATGCCAGAACCGGTCGTCCTTGTGCAGCCACCCCTTCGGCAGAGGTGACAGTGACGGAAGAGCAGCTTCCGGCGGGCTTGTTGCTTAAAAGGCTTGGAAAACCTCATCTCCATGTTCAACGACATGGAATTGGGCAGTTGCGAAAAGCTCTTGCATCGCTTGACACGGCAGCACCAGCAGGCAGCCACGCGATCGGCTCCAGGGCATCGCGGAGGAGTTCCGTTCCAGGGTCCAGCTCACTCAGCGTGGAGTGGTGCGGGTCGTTCACTTCATGGGTGCGGCCGACTTTGGTAGCTTTGCACATGTGCCAGGACGGATCGAAAACGATGTAATGCCCTGCTTCGGTCCGTGGCCAGCGCTGGTGCGAGAGCAGCTGCAGCCGAGCAAGGTTTTGAAGCTGGAGCGGGAATGCCGGCAGATTCAGGAGACGTTTGCTGAGCTGCTGACCGAGTTTTCCAGCCTCGTGGAATGCCATTCGACAGTCTGGAACATTGCCGACAGCAGTCGCCGCCTCGCCGCAAGAACGTAGTGCAGAGGTCAGAAAGGTTAACATCGGACAAACGTCTAAGGAGGAGGTGTGGGTAGTGGCTGGCTCCTGACCGCACCCTGGCGATGCAGCCCCACAGCAGTCCCAAACATGCTTTTCGACCGCGACGGGAAAATGCCGCTGGCTGCGTGCATGGGATGTCAAAATGATGCTTTCAGGATCTTTCAGGGCTCTGGGAGTGCCGCTTTGTCTGTCATGGCTTCTGTGAAGTGTAGGAATTCCATGAGTCTTAGCAGAGCGGACCAAAGAAGGCCCTCCTTCGAAGGCGCCGAGTCTGCCAATGATTTTCTCACCCTCTGGAGCGCGCGAGCTCACGTCGCGCGCGCTCCGAATGGAGCATGCGACTCTCAGAATTCAAGAATGCTCAGCTCTCACTTGTTCATTTCGCGCACTTGTTGCACCGACACGAAGTGACTGAGGGTCGAACACTTGACTGTTGCGAGGAGGCCATGAATCTCTGGCTTGCTCTTGCTTGGAAAGCTTGATAACCTTTGAAACGGCGGGCAATGTCCCAATCGTAGCGCCCTGACTCATGGTGACCTGATTTGGTCATGTTGTCTAATTGGCACGTTATGGTTGTATACAACCAGGTTTGAGCGCACTTCAGCAGCAGTGGAGAATACGGTGGACTATGTGGAGCCTTGCCTGCCTTGTGCGAGTGTGAGCGTCTAAACCCCAAAACCTAAGCCGTCCTTGCCAAGTAGGAGGGAAAAAGCCCATAACATACGTCCGGGTTGCGAGAGCGTAAGCCCATACTATACTATACTATACTATACCCTAATATACTATAATGTACTATAATATACTATAATGTACTATAATATACTTTGATGTACTATAATATACTATAATGTATTATAATATACTATAATGTACTCTAATATGCTCGAAAAACCGATTCAAGAGGATTCCAAACCACGTGGAGTCGCCGGGAGAGTGGGTTCCCGGCACGCTCGCTCCTGGCAGGCCGAGCTCCTGGCGGAGGAGGCGCTTTCAGAGGGGATTCTGAAAAGGGGCTCAGGAGGTGCAGGGTTTAGGATGTCGGGGTTTAGAGTAGAGGGTGTAGAGTTTGGGATTTCTGGGCTTTAAGATTTTGGGATTTGGTCTGTTTGGGTTTAGTCTTGAGAAGTTGAGCAGCAGGTTGTGTGTAACAGGAAAAGGCAAGATCGCGGCCAGAGGCTGCAGAATTGGAGGTCGTGTCACGATTGCCACGGCAGTTTCTGCATCAATGGAGGCTGTTCGGCTGGTGACTTTTGTGTTGCCTCTTCGTTCTCAGCACGAACTGCATTTGTCAATTGTGTTGGGGGGGCTGCAGGACGCAAAATGGACACAATCTGTTCTTGTCAACCGTCGCATCTCCGGCTCGAGCAAGCGTTAGCTGACGACATGTCCTCCTTGTCGAGGTTCGGCTGGATCTATGCTCTTGCATGACTTGATCTGTGTTTGCAGTTTTGCAATGAATTTCGCCTGGTCGCCGAGGTTACGCCTCAACATGGCCGTGCCTACGTTGCTGTTCTCGTTACATCTCCTCGTAGGTGCGGTCAATTTCGAGTCCTCTGTGAAATCAGATGGCCTTTTGGTTGCAGTGAAGTACAACTCTGCCGTGGCGGCCGAAGAAGACCTTAAGCCTTGAAGTATGCTCTAGCTTTGATATGATTTTTTAGTAAGATAGCTAGTCTCATTTTGAAGGAGGCTTGCAGGCAGGCTGCCTCCCCAGATGTTTCCACAGCCGCACCATGCGCACGATGACCCTGCACAGTTCTCGAGGTTCCATAAGCAGAGCTACGCATATGAAGCGGCAGCATCACATCCATCGCCACCATGTGAAGCATCTCGTATGCACGCAGCTTTTCACGAAGACATGCCTTCGCAAGCTCCAGCTTGAGATTTGAGACAGCCTTGAGCTGGCTGGTCTTGCGCCGAGGTACCACGGGTTGCCATTGTCCTGGGGAGGTTCACATGCTGTTATGCCGATTCTTGGATGTTCTTGCAGAGTTTTCGGTTCCTCGCGTTCCCGTGTATAGCCGCCTTGGCCGACACTTTTGTGCCCTGGGCGAGGGTTTTTAGGATGACACGGCAGAAGGACAGAGAGAACCAAGGGCGATACCCTCTCCATAGACCTGCCTCAAGCGCAAGAACCTAGGAGCATCCTGGCCGAAATCGATGATGCCAGTGGCGAGGAACAGGAACGGAGTGCCATCGCCTTGGCTGTCGTTTCATGTCGGGTCTAGCATGTGTAAGAAGATGGGGTGTCTAGGGACAAAGGCTTCATGTCTGTTTTGGGGTTGCGGGTGAGGAAATGAGAAAGCAGAGTCCGACCATGTTCTTGCCAGGACGAGGTAAACAAGAGTGCCCCGGCAACCACCACATTACCGCCTGTGCGGCAGGATGGCAAGTTCCGTGGAAGCAGTAAGGGGGGTTTCTTAAAGCCTTTGGGTACCTCGTTTAGGGGTCTTGATATCGTGGATCCTATTTTTCAGGCTAGAAGGAGCTTGTTATCATTCTTGAACTTATTTTTGATAGTATTACTCTCATAGTTGCTCTTGTTGTGTTGATTAGTATGATTTTCATTGTTATTGTTGTTGTCGATATCAGTATTCTCAGTACAAACAGTGAGAAAATGGCAGCTAAAGTAATAGGATACCTAAAATTTGCATAGCGATGGCACTGGTAATAGGTAAGGGTACCAATAGTTCTAGGCAAAGGATGATGGTGATAGCAGTGATTTTGACCATAATCACAATCGTAACAACAACAGCAGTAGCAATAACAATAACAATAACAGGTGCATGGCATGAGTGCTGTGAATATTGTCATAATGGCAACACGAAATAGCAATAAATAATCAAACATTGCGATACTCGCAGCAATGCTAAATGATACCGACAATGATCACGCACAATTCTTACTTTGTAGTGTTTCATTCTGGCGGACGATGATTAAGGTTCTCTTTCTGTTTGGTATCAGCATATTCTAATTGCTATTGCTACTGCCCGCATTTTGGACTGCAAGAAACAGTTTGACTCAGGTTTCCAGTCGTCAACGAGTGGGCCTGCGCCCTCATGTGCGCGGGCCATGCAAAAGATGGCTGCTGCTCCTACAAGGACAATGCCCAAAGAGTTGGAGACGAGAACGACGGTGACAACAACGAAGATGATACAGGTTTATGTGAGTTTCAGGCAGGCTTTGCCAATATCGACACGAAGGAGGGAGATGAGTGGTCGTCTGCGGAATGCATTGCAGGGTATGAGACTGGCAAATGCGCTGAGTGGAGGAGGGGCAGATGCAACGGTCCCGCCAAGAAAGAAGCGGCTTCCCTGGGGTTGCCGATTTGGGAGTTGGTCTGGGAAGACAACTTTGACCACCTGACCTGCGTGCCAGACCGTGCCGGCATCTTGCGTCCAAATCCACACTACTGGACACCAGAAGTCGGGTACAAGCGTGGCAAGGAGCTGTCATGGTACCAGCCCGAAAATGCAGAATGCAAGGACGGCAGGCTCATCATCACGGCCAAGAGGGAGCAGACAAAGCGAGAAGCAAAGTGCCAACTCACCAACTACAACCCGAGTGCATCGGATCCGGAGCTGAGCGATGCTTCTTGCAATGTCTGTGGGCCGCCACACTTCGAATACGGAGACCCCTGCGACCTGCTCCAAAACGATGCTTCAGGCGCGCCAGTATGTGATTGCTCGGGGTCCGCCGAGTACACATCTGCTTCCCTCCTGTCGCGGGGTAAGTTAGAGATTTCCTACGGCATGGTGGAGATGCGCGCCAAGATCGACACAAGGCAAGGGGCATGGTCGTCTCTGTGGTCTGTGGGCGACTTCGACGGGGTGGCCTGGCCCAAGAATGGCCAAATTGATCTCATGGACGCTGCTAGGTGTCATTGGAGAGTACCTTTTTGATGTCTCTTGTGGTCTCAACACGGTACCTCCTCATGAGGTTTAGAGTCAACCGCTTAGGATTTATAGGGATCCGAACAGAACAGCGGAGGCATTCCAGGGCATGGTGAAGGCCAGCGTGATTCATGCAGGGGAGTCGGGCCTGCCTAGCGAGGCCATCCAGCATGCAGCAGCCATTATGACCACCCCGGAGTGGGAGGAGGTGGGGGTGGGTTTCGTTCAGCTTCGGGGTTCCTTATTCCGGGTTCCTTATATTAGGAGGGGTTCTTGGTAGTGACCAGGTGTATCACACCTTCACCATGGAGTGGGACACGGAGTTTGTGACTCTGAGCGTCGACCGCAAGGAGATCATGAGGTTGGATCTCTCCGTGGCCAATCCCGAGCGCACCACTTGGCCCAACCCCTTCACCAGTGAAAGCAAGAAGTTCTTCCTTATCCTCAACCTTGCAGTTGGTGGCAGCTCGGGCGGTGACCCGTCCGAGTCAGACTTCCCAGTGAAGCTGGAGGTTGACTACATCAAGTATTTCCGGAAGAAGAGCAGCACAGACCGTTAGCCACAGCCAAAGAGCCGCGCTTCGATTTGGACCGCGGAAGATCAACAAAAGCTGCACTTCAGCACAGCAACCTTTCTTGCGCTTGTCTTTCATCTGACGCACTTACCTTCAAAGAGAAGCTTGCAGCCATGTCTGGAAACTCCTCGGCGCGCCACCGAAGCCAGAGCTTTGAAGATCATCCCCAAACCCCATAAACCCCGCAAGTCCGAGTTGTGAGAGCCAAATTAAACCTTGGGGAGGCAAAAATCCTTGAACGTGTGAAGAGGCTGCAACTTCCCAGTGGCTGGCTGTGGCGTTGACGACGACCACGGAGACAGAAGAGGCTCATAACCTACCATAATCTACCACTATATCTGCTACAATATATTTTCATTTGTTGCAACGGACGATCAGATTATAATGTACCCCATGTGCTTCAACTTGGCTTACTGGGGCTCCGACATGCTCACCGCGAGTTTTTGCTTAAGCTGTGATTGAGTGCCACGACACGTGCTCACGCCCTCTCATGCTCGTTTGAGCCCCGACTGATCAACAAGGTGCTGAGGTTTGAATCGATCCTGTTGCGGTTTGGACAAAGTCTTGCCGACACCCAGGCTCAGCTCTTAAGCAAGCAGTCCGGAGGTTCCTGTAGCCATGAAATCGACGACACTTGCAACAAGGCAGTCAACTAATTACACACACCCACAGCCCCACTTAGCAGTCCACTTCTGAAAACTAGATTCTAGATCGTTCTCAATACTCAGAGTGCCTTCATGGAGCCACCGCTGGAAGCCTGTCATGGGCGACAAAGAGAGGAAACGATCCCTGCTGTATGGCTGCTACCTGCTGCAATCAGTTCGCAATCATCGGAGGACTTACATCGGCTTTACCATGGATCCCAGGAGAAGGCTTCGACAGCACAATGGCGAGATCAAAGGTGGCGCGCGCAAGACCGATAGGTGGAAGCCTTGGAACATGGTGCTATGTGTTTGGGGCTTTCCAGGGAAAGTGCTCGCTCTCCAATTCGAGTATGCTTGGCAGCATCCATCGCTTTCTCGACATGTGAAAGACAAGGTTGCGCACCTAGGTTTCTGCAAGATTGCTGGGCATGGCAAGCAATCGCCCGTGCAAGGCGTCGACAAGAACGTGCGAGTGCTCCTGGAAATGCTGCAAGCAATTCCATACAACAGGATTCCGTTGCGGGTGCACTTTCTTGAAGAAAGTTTGTGGACAGGCTTGGAGAACATGTTCGGTGCGGCTTTGCCAAATCACTTGACATTGACGCATGGCAACTTTGACGATCTGCAAGAGCTGTGCAAGCAACGTTTAACAATGGTCATGCCACCGGCGGGGTCTGAGTGTGCAAAATGCTCAGAGCTACTGAAGCCTGTCGATCTTATCGTCCATTGCCCCCACTGTGAGTGCTTGATGCACCTTTCCTGTGCAGCTACGATTTTCACCGGCACATCAACGAAGCTCATGCCTGACGATCCAGCTGATTGTCTGAAGTGTTCGGTAAGTATGGACTGGCTGGTGCTCCTCCGTAACCAACGGGTCTTGCGGTCCGCATCAGCAGACGAGTGCGAAGAGGGACACGAGGAAGATGAAGACGATGACGGCAATTACGATGAGGATCATGGTCACGACGATGGTGATGGTGATGATGATGGTGGCGACGATGATGAGGAGGAAGAGAGAGGGCCGAAGGTCAGCATTGGAGAGGCTGAGGCAGAAGTGAGAAAAGTAGTCTTCTGCAGTGGCGACTCAGACATGCAAGCGCTCGAGCCGAGCTCCAGTCAGATCGACTGCGCTGATTCCTCCTTGCCCTCCTTGTCTTGGAGTCCTCCCAGCAAATCTCAGAAACAAACTCCCCTGGACCGTCCGGGTCGTGCAAAGCGGCGAGCGGCGCTGCAAAGATGTGACAGCAATGGTGGAGATCACGAGCCCTCCGAGGTCGGATCTTGCAACGATCAAAAAGCCAAGCGGACTCCTGTCAAGAAGGCAAGGACGCAGACAACTCGAGGTACTGCAGCCTGCGCAGACGCCGCGGCGAGTTCCTCAGTTACGGCTTCAGCGCCCAACTCTCCCAAAGTTGACCGATGCAATGCCCATGCTGCGTCAAAGCCTGCGGGTGCTAGCGCAAGCTTGAGACAGAGGCTGGCACAACGGACGGGAGATGGGTCGGCATTCTCAATTTGATGTCAGGCAGTGATGAGCTCTTTGCTTATGATTGAGGTTGCATGAACCCATGGAAGGATGATGCCGATAGTAAGGGTACGAGTTAGAGGGACAGTGTCGTCGTATTGGAACTAGTTTTACAAGCAATGCGTGGTTGCAGCTGTAAGAGCCGCCATGGTCAGACCAATAGTGACAATAGTGCTCGTCTCTCCATGTAGCCGTCCAGCTCTTGTCAGCTACGCGGCTCTCCTCGTGTACAGCTGAGCTTGAGCTGCCCCTATGATCAGAAAGTGTCAATGCCGTTTTCTTTCTTGTTCTTTCTTGAGTTTTCGGGTTTGGGGCTTGGAGTCTAGCATTCAGGACTCTGCATTTTGATGGCCTTTACTAGGCGGCTTCAGGTAAGTGAAGCATGGGCATTTTGATGGTCGATATCAAGTGCGTTGTCTTCAATGCTCGCCCAAAACATGTGCCAGCATCCAGACTAGTGTGATCCCCCGTGTGCCCCACCGAGCAGGTGCAGTAGAGTAAATCAGCACAGTAGTTGTACAGCCATCGTACAGTAGAAGTTCGGCAGTACAGTAGAACACTGGCACAGTTGTACTCTAGCAGTAGCGTAGTGTAGCAAAACATGTGTACAGTAGTCGGGCAGTAAGGCGCCAAAACTTCAAAGACCCCTCCAAAATTAAGCTTCCGGCCTTTTGAAATCTTGAGCCCAAGCTCTAAGAGTCTCCAAAATCAAGCTTGAGCCTCTTAACATCAAATCAAGCCTGAGGCCTCTTCCCTGTATCCTGACATGCAATGCAAAACCAAATTCTGCGGAGTTCGGAGCACGTTTCAGAGGGTCACACCCAAAAAAGGCTTAAGCCGTTGCCACATAGAAGAGGTCACCCAATCCAGGACCGTGCGACATGAAATGATTCGTGGAGAGGCCCGAGGTTCTGGTTTCGGGGTTCACGGGGCTCGGATAAGGCCGTCGGAAAAGGGTACAAGCAACGCCCCCAAACCCCTCTTATTGTGGGGCCCGGCAGTCCCGACCCTGACACTGCACTACACCCCGAAAGCCTCGTCTCAGACCCAAAACCGTGCAAGCCTCGAGCCACTGGAGGTAACCGACTGTGAGCCTGGCTTGGCAGAAGCCGTGTAATTATGCCTGAGTTTCCTGCAAAGCAAAAAAAACCAAAGCCCCATTCTGATGATCAGAGACGTCGCAGGGTCGGGACCTGATCTTGGCCGGGGCCGGTCAGCTCTTCTCCAGCCTAGCAGTTACCAGGCCTCAGAGAGAGACAGACAGGGATCAAGAATTAGGATATCCTGCCAAGGATTCCTAGCAAGCGGTCTAGAGGCTTTTACGCACAAGGATTTTGTATGGTTTTCGCAATGATTGCCAGGGTTTCTTAATATAGTTATACTATGACATTATCTTCTAATTGCTAAGGCGGGTCTGCGTCGAGCGAGTGTGCGAGTCGAAACCTGCTTGTGTGCATCGATCCTAGCCATGCGAGAGGGAAAAACGCCGTCAAAAATCACCCCTAAATCCTAAGCTCTGCACCCGAAACCAAAACTCCACAATCAAAGGATGGGCTTTTCGTGTGTTTGGCAGGCCGGGCCTCGTCACGAGGGAAGAGTGGATGCACTTCTGGCTGATGCGGGAAAGTTCTCCCAGCAAGGGCCTCGCGCCGTTTTTTTGTCCATGAGTTGTTGGGTTTAGGGTTTGAGATTTCCAGGTTTCAGTGGTGGTTCTCCAGCGGGGTTGGTTGGGACGGGAAGGGGGCAACGAACTTGTAGTGTGCTGTTGCGTGTCTTCTGGCAGTTCAGAATTTCTGCTGTCTACATTAAATGCTCTAGCTGCCTAGGTGCTGATTGGGGAGTGTTCTATGGTGATGGAAGATGGCATGATCGCATTTGCTGCTGATCAAGGTGATGGTGATGGCTGCAGCAATGCGGATGGTGCAGTAGGGCCAGTAGGAGCGGCATTTGCAGCAGTAGTTTTCGAATGTTGTGTACGGTTTTGCATTCGTACACGTAGCAAACGGAAACTAGCACACTCGGTATCTGCTTACATCTTAAGTTATGCGACGTTTTTGTGCATCTAGGTGCCCATGACAGGTTGTTTTTTTGCATACCGCGCCAGTGCTAAATTGACCACTGCCAAGCAAGTACGCATTGTGATTCCGCTTGCAGCTGGGAGGCCACTACGCGCTTGCCATCCTCCAGGCATCAGCAACTGTTGTAGATTTGTTGTGCAACGCTACCTGTGCTGCGTGTTGAAGCGCTCTTCGATGCTCGCAAAGTCATCTTTGAGCTGTGAGCAGTTACCATCCCTAACCCGCCTCCTTAGAAACACCCCCCTGCAAAAAGAACAGGTGTTTTCAGCAAAACGAGAGGGACACCCCAAACCCTAAACCACATGCCACATGTAGAGTTACGAAAGTCCAAACTACATGCACAACAAACCTCGTTTGGGTTTGCCGACAGAGACGCCAGGGCCGGCTTGCCAAGCTAGCCAGGAGGTGTCCGGAGGCACAGGCACGCAGGGCGGCAGGAAAACGACCACAGTTTCGAGAGTCACTGCCGCTACTGCTCCTGCTACTACTACGGCTACTGCTTCTACTGCCACTGCCGCTACTGCCGCTACTGCCGCTACTGCTACTGCTGCTACTGCTGCTACTGCTGCTACTGCTGCTACTGCTGCTTTGCTACTGCTGCTACTGCTGCTACTGCTGCTACTGCTGCTACTGGTGCTACTGCGCCTACTGCTGCTGCTGCTGCTGCTGCTGCTACTGCTACCGCTGCTACTACTGCTGCTAATGCTGCTAATGCTGCTAGTGCTGTTGCTGCTGCTGCTGCTACTACTACTACTACTACTACTACTACTACTACTACCACTGACTGCTGGCTGCCTGCTAAGTAGTAGGTTTCTGCTACAAGAGACTAATTGCCCAACTACTAGTAGCCACTCGCAATTTTCCACTAAACATGGAGTTTGGGCTTGATGTGTGCGAGCTTGAGAGGGTCTTGATCCTGTTGGAGCGTTCTCGATCTTGATGATGTTGGGTTTTTGCGAAGACAATGCTACACTGCCTTCGTGCAATCCGCAACTGCCGAAACCTTAAATCCCAAACCACAAATTCATGGTCTTCGTGCTTGATGTCGCCAATTCGCGTTGGGCCTACCTCACATATTGCAATGGTACCAGAAGCATTTTGTCTCCGAGACGTGGTGTGAACTGTGCGGAAACTGCTTCTGAAAAGGAATGGACGTCTCTCAAGTTGAGGTTGTGATGAATTCAAAGCTTAATCGTCGTAACCCCGTCTGACGGACTCGATCCAGCAATGCAGGAGGCAAGCAAACAACACTAAGCCGTGAAGGTGGTGGGCACCGTGCTCAACTTGTTCCGGGAAGCTGACTCTGACACCGGCGGGGAGCTGCTGGCTCGCTTGGATTTGATAGGAGGCTTCCGAAACGTAGGGGTGTTTCGTTTACGGGTGCCGATGCTTTGCTAGACTGGTTTCATAGGACTTTGCAGTACTTTATCAGGCAGCTTCCGTGCAGATATTCCACTGTTCAGGGTCACTTCATGATCCACCTGACCCCTCGCGAGTTCCAGGAGATTTCCCAAGCGAAGATGTCGCAGTGTTGTTCGAAGTTCAGCCAGAAGAGCTGCTGCCCCAGCAACAGATGCTCCGTCCGATCAGAATGTCCTGTCGGGTTTAGAGTGTGCGCGAGGGAGCAGCTGTTCTGTGGGGCACCATGCCGCCATGCCATATGTTCGATCATCACGCGTTGGGGGTTCATTGGTCCGGCAAGGACAGAGTCGTTCAGTCGCAAGACCAAGGAACTCGCCAAGCTTAAGCCCCTATACCCTTCCACAGAAGAACCCAATAGTGACTACAGGAATCTTTATAGCACCCTCACTGAGCCAAACCGCAAGGCTTCGAAAACCTGAATAAACTCGTTTCTGTCGCTGTTTTGGCTGCCTTGCTTCACTGCAACGACGATGACGAGGACGACGCAACCAACATCTCTTGTCGTTGTGTCTTCCGATGCTTCCTACGGATTCACACCAGTTGTCGAAACCTTATCACTAAACCCTAACACCTTGCAGAAGTCTCCAGCCCCAATCCTTGGCCCCGTAAGCCTAACCCAAAAGCCTGAACCAAACCCAACCAATAAGAATCCTAAACCGAGATGATGTAGTCCAATCTGACCTGTGAGACCTCGTCTGGCGAGTCGGAGAGCGAGAGCGCAAACCCAAACTCCCAAGACCGGAACTACTTCTATAGGGGCCTTCATATTAGAGAATAGGGTTCTGGGGTACTTTATACTGATTATACTATAACCATATCAAGGAACCCCTACAACAGTATTGGTATATTAGAAGCCTCAGCCCCGAAGGTTGGGAGGCCTTGGGCTTGCCGGGAGCCGCGAGCTGGTGGGGCTCTCAGATCTCCGCAAGGCAGTTCTTCAGAAAATTCCCGGGTGATTTGGGTGAAGGGGCTAAGGGGCTTTGTTTGGTTTTGTTTTGGGTGTTTCCGTGGGGGCTGGAGGGGCTTAGGGAGTTACAGAATGCTTCAGGGCAGGATTCAGAATCAAGTTGTGGAGGACTTATGGTGGGCTCGAGGCCTTGGGCAGTTCACGGCCGGGCAAGTCTGCAGCCTGGCCGTTGTTGTTTTGCGCATGTCTGCGGGACATGGTCAGTGCCGTTAGCTGCTGGTGTTGCACGGCAAGGATTCTGCGCTACCAATCTCATCACCAAATCGCTCCAAGCATCAACGACCCATCCCATTCTTGATGATGCGCCTCACTGAGTGCAGTCGTTTGCACTCGTGGACCGCCCCGGATCCTCACGATGAATTGGTCATGCCTGCCCCGCTGGCCAAGCCAGGTTGAGATCGGCGCCAAAGCGAGCCGAGGTGCCGAAGCGCAAACCCTGGCCGATTCGAGCCGCAGTCTGCGTTTGCACAGGCAGCTACTCTGAACTACTTCGAGTTCGTCAGCGAGCTCGTCGGACGCCAGCGGCATGATGTGCAGCTCCCAGCAAGACCAAACACTGGTCGTGTTGTGTCGGCGAAGCATCGTCCGTCTTGCAACATAGGATGCTTCACCGGAGTATGTTTTGACAAAGTAGGACAGTCTACTACGTGATGCTATAGGGTCATAACAGAATTATATACACAGAGTGTGGGAAGCACATCTCGCAAGGTGTGGCTGTACCAGTACAACATCCCAGCAGGGCTGGCTGCCGAAGTCGAACCGGCGCAGGAGCCGGGCGAGGGAGGAGCCAACTTCAGCTGCCCGGAGAGCCCAACACCAATACTCGTCAGTTACGGACTGGTGTTTGGGGTTTAGGGTTCAGAGTTTGGGGTTCAGAGTTCTGGCAACATACCTTCAAACGTAAACAGACGCCCTATGTAACCTAAAGTACATTTCGGGATAAAGGGATATTGGGCTCTCCAGCTGTTGAATTTTGCTTGGGACATCTTCGGACTTTAAGGTACAGTACGTTATCTATAGTATAGTAGAGCAGAGGGTTACATGTTTCGGCATGATGCGGCAATACCCTCACAGTGTTCTTAATAACTTATCTTTTCATGTACTATGTCAAACGTGCATGCTGTTCAGAAATGTGCGTTTGCAGGGTCATCACCCGGCGAACGGTCGAGGAGCAAAATTTCCGGCTTTCTGGAGTTTTCCCTGTATGGCAATCGTGAACGAATTGTGCTTGGAGCAAGTATCTTCAACATGAAACTCCCATTTCGAGCAAGACTTTCGCGCACAGGCCGCCCTGCTCAAGTCTCTAGGTGGCTTTTGGTCTGCATCTCAGAGCATCGCCTGAGGCCTGAGGCTCCATTTTCTGCTGGGTACCTGATTCCTGGACCCTTGCTAAGTAAAAAGGCGTTCAAAAAACAGAACCCTCACCCCTACACCCTCAACTCCAGACCCTGCTCGCGAGGCTGGAGCTCCGAGTTGCGAGAGTCCAAACCCTGAGCCCTATTGCCACGGGCGAGAGAAAGCGCTGCAGGAACCCTCCAGTGCCTTCGCCCAGGCACACGTCCATCGTCGTCTTCGGCCGGGAGTACTGGTCCGCCGGACATGGCTTGCCTTGCTGAGACTCGGGCTAGGCCAAGGGTTCACGTTCCTGGAAGATGAATGGTTTTTGATGTCCGTGAGATCACGACAACTTCCTGCCTGGTGCCTGGGAGGCTAGTCGGTCGTACTAGTTTGCTCCCATGCGTCGTGGGGCGTTGCATGTTCTCTGTTTATGGCCAGGTGCAAGCATGTGTTGGGGGTGCAGGGTTTGGTTTGGGAGGGTTTACGTTCCTAAACACCTGGCTGTACAAGGTCCGTCATGCTATGCAGGATCCTGGGTGAGGAAGAAAGGATTTCTGGCCAAGAGCAAGAGCCAGAAGTAAAGGCGCCATAGCTTCCGATGATGTTTGGTCTTCTGCGCCGAAGTCTCGACCTACTTGCCAGGTATGGGAGGCAGTGCTTCGAAAGCAAGCTTCAACTTGGCCACTTCGGAGAGCCGGCAAAGAGAACCTACCTCGGAGCAGGGGCCTCGTACTCTTGGGCTTGCTTTGCACAGGGAGGAATCGCATGGTTGAGTTTTGCGAGAGTTGTGGTCCGCGCAGCTCTAGGGAAGTTTCGAGCAATCCTGCCTTGTGCAGTGGTTTCTGGGCATTCGTGCCATAGGCTACCTGTGCTGGAAAATCAACACCCGCTGGATCACCTCGGTGAATGTGTCCGGTTTTGGCTTGCAGTGCTGCAGAAGGACATCTTGTCTTTTGCTTGCTCAACTAGAGTCTTCTGCAACCCTCAGCATTCAGTAGCTGTAGCCGCCCGGTGCTGGCCAAGTCTCAGCTTAACCACCAAACCACCTAACTCTGATCCAGATAGCCTTGTAAAATGTCAGCCTACCTCCACCGCAGCGATCGAACGCGCCGCGTGGTGGTGCAGATTCTGGCTGGGCTGGGATTGATCACGCTGTACCCTGGCTTGCAGACTAGGGTCTACGAAGATGCGAAGCAAAGGTCCCCTTTGGACTTCAACTTCCCCACAAACCGCTTGAAACCGCACTAAAATAAAATGTCTTCCAACACGTGGAGCCAGACCTGGAGTGTCCGTTCAGTCTCGTTGCTTGCAGGCTCCTGGTGGTACCCGGATCGGCTCTGACCCATTACAGTTATCGCGAGCCATGCTCTGCGGGTGACAGCGACTCCCAAGCCCTTTTCGATTACATGACTCTTTGCCGAAATTGAAAGTTGCTTGTTTCAGGGCGACTTCGAAGCGAAAGTTTGGGGATATGAGTACGATGGAGCAAGACGAGACGATCCCGTTCAACAAGCAAGCACAGTGTACGCTCCGGTTTCGTCTTCCGTCATTGTGCAAGGGACTTTGCTCATTGCAAAGGGCCCCCTGAAACAGAAAGTAGCTTTGGCGCAGATGCCTCGAAGGGCAACCCTTCATGGATGAGGTCCTTCTATGCATGCTCCGAGCTTTTGCCGAGTCCGGTGAAGGCGGGTCCATGAAGCCGTTAGTGCTTTGGGTTCTGCCCGCGGAGTTCTATGATGAATGCTGTGCCGCTTTGATAAATGCTCTTCCACCGGGCTTGATCGTAATTTTCTTGTCCGAAATCAGACGACCCCGAAGACCCTGCACAGTGTGTGGGTAGTTCCCTGAGTTAGGGTACCTTTTCAGGTCCCTATTTAAGTACGGCACCTTTGTCAAAGGGACCCAAACAGGGACCCTAATTTAGAGAGTTACCTGTGTGTCTCACAGGCGGCTCTTCTGCTCCTCTGGCTTTTCCTGCTCATCAGCCTTCTGGTGGGGCGCTGAGGTTGCTGCAAACCTCGAGACTCGAGAGGTAAAGAACACCGGTGTCACCAGTCATGCCTATGACCCAGGAAGCTTCATAGATCCCAAGCGAGTGACATGTCATGTCGCCCGGCCTGAACCCCTTGAAGCCGCGAAGGCCCAGGTTGCAACCCAGCCTTCATTACTCCGCATTAAACATATGAAAAGCCGAAGAGAGCTCGAGGCCAGCACCGCGGACGATTACTTCGTTCCACAGCTCGAAGCATTGTCCCACTGCCTCGGCTTACAGGATGAAAAAGGGCTTGGAGATTCAGTTGGGGGGTTTAGGGGTTTTTCGGGTTCGAAGATTCAGGGCTTTCAGGTTTGGGACTTGTGGTCTAGGGTTTTAAAGGGTTTAGGTTTAGGGCTTGAAGGGGGTGTCGGTCTGGGCTTCTGCCTCGCCTTGCTGCTTTGGATTTGCTGCTGGCTGGGCCTCCTTGGTGTTCTCTGGATGCGGAACCCGGGGATCAAGAACACTTGGCTTTCGTGCCACATTCTTCTGTGCTGTGGGCCCCCAAACATCGACGGGCTCGGGTGCGCCAAGCAGATTTCCTTAACTCTTTTAAACGTCGGCCGGGCAAGGGTTCCCATCCCCGGGCAAAGTGGTCAACCTCCGTCACCGGTCCCCTGCTTGCGAAGGCTTTACTTGAGGGTGCAGACTCTAAGATAGCTCAGCCTTTCTTCGTGAGAGCGTGGGGTTCCAGCTTGATTCGACTTTACAGCTAGCATGGTCTAACACTTACCGGGGGTAGCCTTTCGAGCTTCTCTAGCTGCTGGCTGTGCCGTAAGACCTCGTGGGGAGCAGGAGGATGTGGCTGGTGTCACTTTGCTCGCTTTGGGTAATGGCATGCCTGATGTGATGACGGCCTGCAGCTCCATCAACAAGGCAGAGTCTCCTTTACCGGGTTTGAAGGTTCAGGGTTCAGGAAGTTTAGGATTCCGTCGTGTCGAGTCAGGGTTTAGGGTTGAGGTGAGGTGTGGTGCCGTACTGTAGGATGTTTGAGGGTTCAGGCTTCATTCTTGAGGTTTTCGCGTTCAGCATTTGGGCCCTGGAGTCCTGATTGCTAGCAGGGCCCTGGGGGTATGGAGATTTGCGTTTGTTGAGGCGAACGACCTGCCGCTGACCATGGGCGAATTCCTGGGCGCTGCGAACTTCATCGCTATCTGTGTGATGGCATGGATAATGCTGGCGCAATCTGGGCCGACAGAAGTGGACGGGTTGCCCTTCCTCCGTGATTCGATCATGTGCATGCTCGTGACAATTTTCATGGTCGCTGTGACCTGGGATAATCTCATCACCTTGACTGAGAGCATATCTTTTTTCGTGCTCTATGTGTTCTACATTGCGCTTGTCCTCCTTCCTGGGCGCCTGTGCTTCCGCACTGCGCATGCTCGGGTCATGAACTCAGAGGTGGAGCTCGTCTTTGAGCCGCAGATGGGGACCGGCAGCTTCCCTGAAGGAAGTTGTCTGATTTCGCACAAAGAATGGGACCTGGGCCCCTTCCACCCCTAGCCCGTTGAAGTAGAGCGCAGAATGGGTCGCCCAAGCTCCAGTTATGTGAATGCTGACGGACACCCCCACACACACACACATGCACACCAGCTCGAGGGCTCAGCAGGCATTCAGACTTCTTTACATGTCCTCAGCTACTCTGGCAGGACAGACCCTGTACAGCGATGAAGAATGTTTGTGTTGGGATGGGCTGCTTCAACAATAAGTACTCTTTGACTGCCACCATGTGAAGCACAAGCCCGAGGTAGCTGGGAGAACGAGGAACCCACGAGCCCGTCGCAGGGCAGCTTTCTGCCGCTCGCCTCGGAATCCGAAAACGAGGACCCCGAAGTTTTTGATGCCAAGCTCGCCTTGCCGGGCCTGGTCTACAAGAGGCAGTCGACTGTAAGCCTCGTGCTTGGCACCCTGGAGCTGCCTTTCACCTTGGCCCGGAGCCTTTGTATACCTTCGGCCACCTGGAGTCGGAAAGAGCGGCTGCTAGCGGCGGCCTGCCCTGCCTGTGGAGTGCTTTTCATGTTCCTCTCCTATGGGGGCTGGGAGGCTTTTCAGGCCTCAGGTCAATTCCCTACCTGGGCCTTGGCTCTAGTTGCTGGCCTCTTGGCCAGCTTGGCGGTCCTCTGTGCTTCGAACCCGGGCCACGCGCCGGCCTGGCACCTGATCCTCCTGCTCTGGGCCGTTGCTGCGGCCGTCAGTTGGCACCTGGGACGGGAGCATCAGTTCATTTCTCGCGGCGTTGCAACCCAAAGCCTTATTGAAATTCAAACCCCGGAAGCGGGCTCGTCCTAGCTAGGTGTGAGGCAAAAAATCCTGAAGCTCGGCGGGGTCGACCTACGCAATCAATCAAGGGGTGTGAAAAATCTAAGACGACCAAGGTTCAACTTGTTGGCCAACGAGTGCGTAGCAGTTCTGGAGGCTTTCGGCCTCAATCTGGGAATCTCATCCTCGGTGCTGGGCATCACTGTCCTGGCTTGGGGCAACTGTGTGGGCGACCTTGCAGCTCGGACTTTCTCGGAGTGCTGTCAGAGCCGGACGTCTCTTTTCTTGGTAGCTTCAAACAAAAGATCCAGAGTAGTGGTGCTATTCCATTTTGAAGACCCCCCATAAGCCCCCATAAGACAAGCAAAACGCGTTGTTAAAGGACTTGGGCCTTTTGAGCGAGTTTGAGAAGCCGAGCTCCCGAACAGCTCAGGTTGCAGACCTCTCCTTGGCCAAGCAGGGAAGGCCCGGCAACAGGGTAGGTTTTCCTCCGGCCCTCAGTTCCGGTTCGTTCCCTGCCAGCTTCTAACTCTACTCAGTAGACAGAGCAAAGTGGGAGTTTCCGACAATAGGGGACTCTACTATAGTCCCCTAAACATCCGTATTATAAGGACCCCAACAAAGGGTACCCCTAGTTATGGGAAACTCCCAAGTATGAAAGGTGAAAGCGAGACTCTGAGGGCTGCGGGTCTGTGGCTGTGTGTAGGAAGCTCTCGTACCTGAGTTGCCCGACCCCGCATGCCAAGATGGTGTTGGTTTCCTTTCCAGGTCGAAGATGGCAATTGCAGGAGTCTTGGTTGCGGCTTAGGGTTTAGGTATGCCTTGGGTCTCGTGGTCTGGAGTCCTAGTGGCTCATGCCTGGAGGATTTGCTTTTGAAGCCTTCTGAAGGTCCCGATGCAAACATGTACTTACGTCTTATGTGTTTCTGTATGTGTGTATGTACGATCATGTATGACAATGTATACAAGTAGAGGTACGCACGCATAGATAAATATGCATCGGCACAATCAGAATGTAATCACAAATATAAATACAAATAAATATATATATATATATATATATATATATATAAATATAAATATATATATATATATATATATAAATATAAATAAATAAATAAATAAATATATATATATATATATATATATATATATATATATACAGTTATAGATTTAAACACAATGCACATATACATATACATATACATATACATATACATATACATATATATACATATGCATGCATACACACACATACATACATACATATATATATATATATATATATATATATTTGGTCACCCCCCCCCCCCGTTGACAGACAATGCCCTTTCAACTCAGTCGTAGTGCATGGTCTGTGATCGGGGGAGGGGGCACTCAGCTTTCCAAAATTTCCAAAATTTCCAAAACTTCCCTAACTTTCCGGATTTCCAAAATTTCCAAAATTTCCAAAATTTCCGAAATTTCCAAAATTTCCAAAACGGCCCGACCTAGTGGACAGGATTTTTCCAAAACATAAGGGCGGACTTTTTGGAAATTTTGGAAATTTTGGATATTTCGGAAATTTTGGACATTTTGGAAATTTTGGAAATTTCGGAAATTTTGGAAATTTCCGAAATTTTGGAAATTTTGGAATCTCTGGACCTTGGAATTGATTCTCAGGAAGGCTGATTGTGACCCATCCGATGACAGACCATGCACGACTTACTTGCAAAGGCAAGGGCTGTCAATACTCATGCCTATATTTGAACGAATATCTCTCTATCTATCTGTCTATCTACATATACATATATGTATTGATACTCCTACATATAGTATTGCCATTGAAAATACTGACATTGATCATTTGTTGAATG